CCCCAAAACCCCAAAACCCCAAAACCCCATTAGAATTAAATATTGTAGAATTAAGAAATCAATTGTTTTAATCTTGAAATCAAAATATTCATAAGAAATCAATGATATTCATTCATTCACTTGAACTAATAACTTGCTTAGGTTTGGAAATATTACCGATCATTCCTCATAAGAAACTTTGTATATTTCAATCTCTTTTACACTGAAATAATGTGAACCTGCGAGATAAGTATTTGCAGATTCTTATCCATATACCATTCCATCAGGTGGCCTGTATATAGTTCCAAAGTTGGAATAGCTGCTGTCATTTTAAATTCCATTGATATTACAATCAGTGTATAAGTTAATGTCATAACCGAACCATAGCATGTATGAATTAGCATAATACAAAGCCTAATCCTTATTTTGATATTGCTCATGTTTAGTCTTTTTAGTTAGGCTGAAAATAAAGGCTTTGTCATCTGCAGTCTAGCCATCATTTGCTTTCCATCCTATTGAAGAGTATCCTCCAAATACCTAGTCATGTTCAGATTTTATTATTCCTACAATCGGTCCTTTGTTATCAATCATTTCATGCATCTTGATACTGCTAAATGAATCTCTAGTTGCTTTAAATAATAGCTCAAATTTTGAATTTTAAATTTCATCTTCACCATAAATCCATTATTTTAAGAGTTCTTCATGCTCATCAGTTATATTAAATACGGATAAAGTTTCTTCGCTGAAATCATCTACTGAACAGCCTTTTCCAATGTACTTCAACAATAGTTCTCTTCTTTCTTTCTTACCCAAATAAGGTAGTAAAGAATCCTGTACCTCTCTTAGAATCTTTATAAATACTTCAGCTGGGTAGCTTCTCTCTTTCTGCTTGAAAATTTCAATCTCATTAATTAAGTCAGTAATCTTGCTCCTCCTTTCCTTCAGCCTTTCGATTGCTCTCTCACAAAATCCCTGCACATCACTAGCAACTATGTGATCAAGCTTTTTCGCATGATTAGCATGACCTTTGTGGACACATAAATGGCATACTATTTCTCTATGAATATTACAATAATATTCAGCAATCAAATCTAAATGATTCTGGCATAAAATCCAGAGCAATTCAGTTTTCTGCTTAATCATCTTTTGAATATTTTCTCTAAATTTTTGGCTAATTATTAATTCCTTTTTGCCAATTGGACAAATTAGTTTATTCCCTTAAGGCTCTATAACTTTCTCAAAACATGAGAGGCATATTGAATCACCACATGGTAGGATAATTTGATGTTTATCAATGGAATTTAATAATCCGTTACATTATTCACACTTATTATCTGATTCCATATCTTAATTACTTTTCTGATAAATAATTAATTTTAATTTAGTAATTCAAATATGTTAATTTATCATAGCTCTCCGGGGTTTTGGGGTTTTGGGG